TTTGTAACAGAACTTCTTTTAGATTTCAAAGCTGTTAGTTATCTCAGTTTCATGGCATCAGAGGAACAACTCTTTTTCTCACTGTGAAAAAGGCAGTGTTCCACATGCCCTCATTAATGTGCTCATTTAAGTTTATAGAGAAATAATAATCCTAAATTTGGATTGATGACTCACCTGGCTTCACTGTATTTGGCAGAAAATTGAGTGCTGTGTTGTGGCTGATGCTTAAATGAAGAAAACTGGTCTTATTTCAAATCTTAAAATGGAGCACTGAATGTTGCTGGTGTCAGTATATAAATGTAGTATCTTCTTCAAAATATAAGTGATTATGTGTAATATATAATTACTAATCTAGGCTATGGAAGAAAATTTAGTGCTTGGTGTTCTTTTTGAGAGCAAAAGTGGGAAATATATACAGATGAAAGTGAAAAGTTCAGGCAAAAATAGAATTTGGGCAGCTTTAAAAAGGAAAGTGACAGTAGGTGTTAGGGAATATGAAGCATGCCAGAGATACTGAGAAAAGAAGGAAAGAAGGAGGCCTGTTGCTGTGGTGATGCCAAAGTCAATTGATAGTAGCGCTCTACTTGCCTTGTGCTGTTTATACAAGGCATTATGTTGGGTTTGCACGGCCACATTTTGGTAGCATGGAACCCACAAGGGTGGCTTCTATGAGAAGCTGCCAGAAGTTTTCCCTGTGTCTGATAGAGTCAGTGGCAGCCAGCTCCAAGACAGACCCATCGCTGGCCAAGGCCAAGCCCACCAGTGACTGTGGCAGCACCTCTGGGAAGCAGATTTAAGAAGCAGAGGGGGAAAAAAGGTCACAGCTGCAGCTGGAGAGAGCAGCGAGAATAAGTGGGAGCAACAGCCCTGCAGACCCCAAAGTCAGTGAAAAAGGAGGAGGAGGAGGTGCTCCAGATGCTGGGGCAGAGATACCACTGCAACCCGTGGGGAAGATCACAGTGAGTCAGGTTGTCCCCCTACAGCCCGTGGCAGTCCATGAGGGAGCAGAAATCCGCCTGCAGCCCATGGAGAACTCCATGCCAGAGCAGGTGGATGTGCCCGAAGGAGGCTGGGACTGTGTGGGAAGCTCACACTGGAGCAGGCTCCTGGCAGGACCCATGGCCCTATGGAGAGATGAGCCTGCACTGGAACGGGTTTGCTGGCAGGACTTGTGACCCTGGGGGGGACCCACGTTGGAGCAGCCTTTTCCTGAAGGACTGCTCCCGATAGAAGGGACCCATACTGGAGCAGTTTGTGAAGAGCTACAGCACATGAGAGGGACTCAAGCTGGAAAAGTTTGCAGAGGACTGTCTCCTGTGAGAGGGACTCCACTGGAGCAGGGGATGATTGTGAGGAGTCCTCCCTCTAAAGGAGGAAGGAGCAGCAGAGACAGCGTGTCATGAAATGAATGCAGTGATCATTTCCTGTCCCCCTGTGCCTCAGGGAGTGAAGAGGTAGAGAAAATTGTGAGTGAAGTGAAAGCCCAGGAAGAAGGGGGCAGGGGAAAGGGTTAAGATTTCGGTTTTAAGATTTCTCATTATCCTACTCTGATTTAACTGGTAATAAATTAAACTAATATCCTCAAATTGAGTCTGCTTTGCCCATGAGGTTAATTGGTGATCTCTCCCTGTCTTACCTCAGCTCATGAGCCTTTCACTCTGTTCTCTCTCCTGTGTCCAAGCTGAGGAAGGGAATGACTGAGTTGTTCTGGGAGATACTTAGCATCCAACCCACCACAGGCATAAAGTCGGTATATGTAGGTTGTTATCTCAATGATGAAATATATATTAAAAAATTTGTTGCAGCTGTCTCACCAAAATGAATTATTTGTGTCTTTTGGTTAAGTAATGTATGCAGATTTTAAAGAAGAAAGCTAAAACCTCAGAAAATCCTACAAGAATTAGTGAAAGGTGATAGTAAGGTTTGCTACCGTAGTAATGACATCTGTTCAGATACTTCATATGAATGATGAAAACTGAAAAAAAAAACCAACCAAAATATCAATAAAGTTGAGTAGTATTTCTGTGGCACGGAGGAACCATAGGGAACTAAAAATCACTTTGAATCTGGGACTACAGATGCCATGATTGTAATAGATTGCCATTACTTAGCTGCACACTGGAATATAGATAGAGCTCTGTGTGTGTGTTTCTTAACTGCATTTCCATACTTCACTTGTTTTCAAATGTAGAATTACTAAGTGTACTGGATTCATGGCTTTTGTATTGTAAATTCAGACATGTGGCCCGAAGCAGTTGATGAAAGTTTCAGGAGCAAAGACTAAGCAAACTAGAAAAAGAATTGAAAGGATAAATGATGATTTAAAAAGACTGTGAATAATATAACTTGTAGTTGTGTAATTGTGTTACATGACTGTGTAACTATGTAATTAAAATTACATCCTTAAATATTTTTGTTAGTTATTTTCTGCCTCTAATTTCTAATTTTCAGCTGGGGAATTTAGTAGTGTTATGGAGAGTTTCTGTTTTTGGAAACTATATTTTATTTCAAGTTGTTAGCTCATTAAAACTGTGAGGTAATTGGGGTAATAGGAAAGGGAAGATGCATCTCTTGTTGATCTCTAGGTGAGGCTGTGGAGGTTTGTTTTTCTTTCTTTCTTCTATTTGTTTGTTTGGTTTTTTTTTTCCTATTTTTGAGAGGGTTGTGGGGTTTATTTGTTCTACCTTGTTCTTTCCCACTCAGGCATTTCCAGTGAACTAAAAGGTAGTGGTACAGTTGACATGTTTGTGTTTAAATTACTATTAAAATTAAATATAAATTTTGCAGTCACATGAAGTTTGAATAGTCAGGAAATTTCAGGCAGCTTTAAAAGACATTTTATCAGACTGAAGCAAAATATACATATATATATAATTTTGATCAAATTTAGTGAGATTTTGGAAGATGAAATGACTTACTATAAGACACTTCTCAGAAGCATTCCTGTTCTGAAACTGTTAGGACCTGGAGCCTTGAAGGAACAGACAAAATCTGAAAAACTCTTAGCAGCAAAATAAGTATTTCCGTACTGCAGGGGACTCTCTCAAGATGAGTTACAGTTCTTGAAATATCCATGGTGTCTGCAGAAAGTAAGCATTATCAAGATGTAGGTATTGAGATAGATTATAGTTTTTAATGACTCTTCCTAAAAAATGCTCTTTTAAAAATGTTTTTAACAAGTTTGTGTGTTTGTCAAGTAACATGAGTTGATTCCTGAAGAAAGGTATCTAACTTTACCTGAATCTGTATGTTAAAAACAGTGGATGATAAAGAAGCCCAATCCAGACTCTTACCTAGAAATAGTACAATATGTATAACTGGAGGAAGAAAAAATGTGCATTTACCTACAGAAGATGCATTCTGAGATGAGAGAGGGGACAGATGTAGTGGAACCACAGATGTAATAATGACTTAAAAGGTTGAGTGAGTACTGAGGGCTAAAATTTTAATCCCCCGGGGGATTTAGAAGTTACCCTCTACAATACACTTATCAGTTTTCTAAAAATTTTAGTCTGTATTTATAGATGAGTATTCAGACTCTTAGCTGCCTTGGCTGTGAGCTGTTCTTTTTACATGAAGTTTTATTCTGTAGCACAAAGTATATGAATATTGTTGCTATTTATGTGCTCCTTGCTCTGAGAGACACCTATGTTTTTATGCTAGAAGTCTTGAGAAAGTTTGGTACATACCACAGAGTTAAAACTAACAAAGCTTAATATAACCTGATTATGATACAAACTAAACCAAACCCCAGTACGTTCTGTGCGGAAATTTTATTGGAATATGTTTCTGGTAGATTTGTGGCCTTGCTTTATTATGTGTATCAAGGCTGGTACTGCAAGGAAAAGATGAACTGATTCTCTTAGTGTATTTGGGAATAGGATGCTGCAAAGAGTGGAAAGATACAATTGAGTCCAGTCTCTGTCTTAGCATAGTGTGTTGTATACCTCGTGTGAAATAGTCCTATATTATGTACCAAGGTTTCCTTTAGGAATATAGTAGCTTGACGTTGTTAGCTTTTATTTTACTGTCTGGAGCTAGTAAATTGCTGTAGTCAGCTTAAAGAATCATAATTACTACTTCATGTTTTTCGAGCACAGTTGTTCAAAATTCTGTACCATAATATCAGCTGCATAAGCATTAGTGGAGAAAAATTACAGATATTCTTTGCTAGGACAGAGACAGATTACTGATCAAGACCATGAAGCAATGCAGAAATGTGAAAAATAAATTCTAAATTAAATTTGACCTAGACTGGGATCTGACTTGTTAAAGAAAATAGTATAGAGTATCTGTACAAATAAAGATAATAAACAAAATCAAGACATTTTCTTAGGAAAGGAATATGCTTTACATAACACAATTATTATTTGAAATGTCTGTAATCAGATTTTTAAAATGAAAATGTATTCTCCTACATTTTCATCAAGTGGCCTCTTGTCTCAGAAGACACTTTTGCAAAATGCACAAAGGAACGTGACAAGAATAAGGAGGGGGGTGGCTTTTGGGAGTCGATATGCTCAAAATGCTTGGACACATCTAGTTAGTATAAAGGCAAGAGGTTTCCTTCTGCTACTTGACTCTTTGGTAGGGATTGAAAAGAAGTTTCTTCTTCCCTGGATACTGTCTATATTCTGGTAGTATTAGTATCAGTATAAAAGAGGTACCATGAAGTGAGTTCGGGTGTGACATGAAGTATGCATCAGTTACTTGGGGAGCAGTGAGCTTCTGTGTTCTTACACAGTGGTAAATGGGAGGTACCTTTCCTCTTGTTAATTTAGAGGAAGAGAGTTACATTGAAAACACACACGCATGGAGATGCATGCACTCTTGAGTAAATAATCCAAAGATACTTTGGATACTTTTGAGAAACAGCTAAGTGTTAGTGGTGTTTCAAAACTACAGATGCTTTGTTCAGCAAAAGAATGGAGCAAGTCCCATTAACTTACTGGGGTTTTTTTAAACTTATATAAATTTTTACGGTTTTTTTTGTTTTGCAGGATACAAAATTATGGATAATAATGGAATATCTGGGTGGAGGCTCTGCCCTTGATCTAGTAAGTAAATAATGCATGAGTTTTCATTACTTTACCTCACATAATTATTTTCCTATCTTATAATTCTGGAAACTATAAAAGGTCATTTGGCTGTGGCAATGTTTCCTTTCAGTAAAGGAGAAAAGTATTTGTCAATGCCAGAAAAACATTATTTTCCATGAGGCATGACTGCTTATTTATATAAATGGAAGGGAACTAAGCAACATAATATTGGAAGCACGATATAAACATCTTAGAGTGCTAATCTTCAGCCAGCCAGAGAGCACTAGTGACTGAAGATAGTTTCTCTTAATTCTGCCACCACAACTCTTCTTAGTGTATACATTTTAATGTATCATCCCCACCACCCGCTTCCCCAATCAATTATACAAAAGGTTCCCTGTTTGAAGTCTTTCTGAAGTCTAAATAGACAGAAATAGAGTTTAGACTGGTATTAAAAAAGTATTTCAAACAAGTAGGAGAAGCTGTGGACTCCAGTGAGGGTAGAGAGGCCTTACAGAGAGCCTTGGATATACCAGAGGCAATCACAAACCATATGAAATTTAACAAAAGCAAAGTGCTTCATTCTGTACCTGGGACAGAGTACTCAGTTTTGAATTAGAATTCTCAAGGTTCAGTGCAGATTGTGTTTTCTGTGATAGGATGCTGTCATTCACTTTAGCTATCGGAAAAAAACTCAACACCCAACCCCCCCTCCCAAATCACACACTATCATCTTATATTTATTCTGGATTTGAAAAAGTAGAAATAACAATGGAGGTTTTAAGTTTATGTGAAAATTGTTATACCAATAGAGGCAGAATGTCTCTGTAGCATAGTTTGCAGTTGTCAAATGGGGCAACTAATTTTGCTTGAGGAAAGAGTGAAAGGAAAGAGGCTAATCTGTAGGGATTCTGCTGGTTGCACCCAGAAGACAGGAGGGGTATTAAATGTGAACTTCCTGCAGTTGTGCATTTTCAAACCCATTTATACCTTTAGTTTCCACATCTGTTACCTTCAGAAGGAATTCTGAATATCTGTTCCTTCAGAAGGAATTCTGTCGTTGTGTACAAATTCATAATGTTTCCCATAAAGATATGATAAAGAAAGTTTATTTATGGTTGTGATAGCTTTTCTTTTTCCTGACAGAAAAGCGTTTAGAAACTGGGGTTGCTTTTATAAATTAATTATTACTCTCTTCCTATAGGTATAAAGAGCAGTATTAAAAAAACAAATGTTACCATATTTTCTTCTCTTTTTTTTTTTCATCACACACATTTCCCTTGTGTGATAACCATGTGCTTAAGTTTGTTGCCTAGAAATAGTACAAAGTCTGTGGTTACATTTTAAAATGTTATTGAAGAAATTGCAACACAGAACTGAAATCATCATCCAAGTGTATATTAAGCTCCTTTTGTGTTCTTCATTAATTTTCAATTTATGTTCTGCTGCATGTTTTCCTAATTCTAACATGCACGTTATGGTTCTCAACTGGAATCTGGTAGGACAAGTGGCACACTTTGCCACGTTTCAATACTCAAGGCATGAATTAATGGGAACCTTGGATTCCGTGTTCTGAGTGTAGACATGTCATTCTAGCTTGGTGTTTTCTGTACTTGATTATGCACTGGCTGTTTTGAAAATCACGCCTCACAGGACGAACTGCATTTCATGCAACTTTGTACATCGTTGTTCAACTTTGAGTATGATTTAAGTTTGTGACTGAGGTACAAGTGTCAGTATTCTCAGACTTAATATGTTTTCAGTAAATTCCTCCTCACTAAGTTGAGCTGACATCTGACATAAGAGGTTTTCCCCCATTAGATGTATCATGTTACCAAGTCTTGAAGTGGTGCTCACAGCCTGGCTGGAGCAAAGCTTTGAGAATGTCTTAGTGGATTTCAGGGAGTGGTAATATCGTGTTTATTATTAAAGCTAAGGAAAAGCAAAAAATATTATAATGAAAGCTACAAAGATAAAGCAAATATAAAATGAAATATTATGTCTGTTCCTATGTAATATATGAGGATTTTTGAGGGATTTTTAATTTTTAACTGAAACGCTTTCTTTCTCACAGAATGAAGCTTTGGAGATAGAACCTTTTGATTGTGCTTCAGTGACTGCTATTGTGGAGTAAACTAGAACACTGGAATATTTCCAATCATAATTGTTGGACACAAAGTTTCAGTGTCTCTCTTGAAATGCCCTTATTGGTTAAAAAACCTCTCTGAGTGTAGTGACCTTTCCTCTGTCTGTTTAGAGATAGTGGTATTCTCACTTTTAGAATTTATATAAGATGTAAAGAGCTCTGTGATCATTTACCACTACTGCTTCCTCTAAAAAAATAATTACTTGGAGCATTTGATTCTAACAATTAGCAGATTTGTACTTTTCATTTTATATGAAAAAAGGTAACACTTTAAGACATGTAATGTTCTGTCAGCCTATTGGCTTGAGTTGTGTTTTAGAGAGTTGCACAAAATCCAACGCAGTATGTAGTCATAGGCTGTGATTGGTGTAGGACCTTGTATGCCTTAGTTTCTTGCTTGGGCTTTGTGGTTTGGGTCCGCATAGATGATGTGGAGTTGCATGTCTAAGTTCAGTGTAATGTTAATAATCAGATTACAATATAGATGCTTTTCAAAGGCAGTGTTTATATCCATGACCTGACCACAAAGCAATAACTGTAACAAACTTCTAAAAATGTTTTAGATAAATTATTTTTTTTTGCCTTTTTTTCACCAGGCCACTTAGTTTAGAACTGTGTATTTTTTAAAAAGAATATTCCGTTTTGTCTCACATTGTGAAGTTAGCAAACTGAAGCTTTGAGGGATCGCAAAAGGAGTAATTTCTTTTTATAGTCACAGTGTTATTTCTGTTCTGTTTCTCCCTTTTTAAAATATATTTACATATTCCTTCCATCTCCTAGTTAGAACCTGGCTCACTTGATGAAACCCAGATTGCTACAATATTGAGGGAGATCCTCAAAGGACTTGATTACTTGCATTCAGAAAAGAAAATCCACAGAGATATTAAAGGTAAATTGTTTTTTTAACTGTATTGAAAGAATATTAGAACAGCTCATGCAATGTAAAGGAACAACCTTGCAGTGTCAAATGGCATCAAGTGTCTTCATATCTGCTATTTCCTCTTCTTTATTCCAGCTGCTAATGTACTGCTGTCTGAACAAGGAGAAGTAAAACTAGCAGATTTTGGAGTAGCAGGACAACTAACGGATACACAGATAAAGAGGAACACCTTTGTGGGAACACCATTTTGGATGGCACCTGAAGTAATAAAGCAATCGGCGTACGATTCAAAGGTAAGGTGTTTCAAGGCATTAGCCAAAGTCCCGTCCTTTTCTAACTTGAATTACGTAGGTTGGTCTTCAGAATGGAGCTAATCACTTTGGCTGTGTCTAGGTGAGTGTGTGTTTAGATGATACCTAGCAGCTAAAAGCTGTTGGTGAGAAAAAGATTTCCTAATTTGTATCCAAACTTTAAGTTTCCTAGTTTATTAAGCCAATCTAGATGGCAAGAAATAATATGGTATTGATGAGTACATCCCATCACCTTTTATCCCACCCTATTGATGAGTATTTTTGGCTGTTTAAAGGTAGAAAACAGCAAGTATGTAAAAAATCGTAGTATTCTTTTACTTGTTTTTAGAAAAAAGTGGTCAGCAACACTGTTGAAGAATATGGATTTGGTGGGTGTGAAAGTGTTATTTAAAAGTGCTGTCATTCATCTGGGGAAGAATATGCTGCATAGGTCTATGCTACCCTGACCATGATCTTATAGATATGCCATACACGGAGGGTTTAATGTTTAATATTCAATTGATCTAATACACAGGATTTTGATTTAGCAGAGTGGTCATCAGCATACTGAAATCACAACACAAGCACAATATATCAACTGAAATATATAGTTGGATCACAATAGAAATGTGATTACTATTACTGTTCTCCATATTGTCACCAGTATGGCACCACGTGTCTCTAGTTGCCAGGAAGGAATACGTGCATTAAAGCCAGCTCAAGCCTACTCCTTTTTTTTAAAATTTGTTATGTAGGTTACTTGTTTTTTATACTTCTATTAGGCTGAGCTACATGCACAGCTCTTTGCTGCCCTTCCCTTCTCCTTCCCCACACTGGTCTGGCTAGCTCGGCAAGACACCGATAGTGTCAGGGAAGACTCTTTGCCCAACCCCATGACCCACTGGTGCAGTTCTGTATCTGGAACACAGGTCACCCTCAAGCCCCACTTGTGTTGAGATCAGCCGTCTTTAGCAATCGTTCTGTATGTTCTTCCCTGAGCTCATCCCGCAACAAGACAGTTTGGCGTGTTTCTTTCCACCCTTGTACATGTGAGTAACTCACCAAGACTGACTCTGGCCTAGTCTGTAGTATTGCTTACATCCCTAATTTGGTATCTTTCTGTAGAGAGGCTATTTAAAAATAACAAGCAGAGCTCTGCAGAGCTAGTAGAAGTTCAACCCTAAATTCCCAACTTAAAGGTTTAGTAAACTTCTTTTTTGGGTGGTGGAGGCTTTTGTTTTGGGTTTGTTTTGTTTTTTTCTCTTGAGGTTTGGCTCTTGGGAACGATCATCAGTTGCACAAAGCGTGATTCAGTCCTCACGCTTTGCATTCTGTTTGTTTTGGTCTGCAGTGCCACAGGGACATAATAAGGTCTTGGATACTTGATGAGTTTTCTAAAAAGCCACGGCTCACATTTTCAATGAACTAGAGATATTTATATTCATCTGTGCACGTTCTGGCACTTAGAGAACAGACTAAATTGCACATACAATAGTTTGCTGTGCTATAAAAACTTGAAAAGGCCTGTTTATTTTAGGATAGCTTTATGCATGCATGAGAACACATACATCCAAAGCTAATCTCGTTCTCCTTCCATAAGCTGGCCATTCTTGTGTTAAGCAGGACCACCCTCTTCATATCATCACCTCGGAGAGGTGCAAGCAAGTTCCATTATGTAGCTGCTGTGTTTCCATTACGTAGCTGCTATGTTTCCATTTTGTTCTTGGCCCTGTTGAATCCTCCTATTTCCCAAGTGCAAGAGGTTCCCAATAAAACCTCGGCAGTGCTCTGGTTTTTGGCAGTAGTTCTTCCTGTTTTGATTCCTTTCTTCATCTGAAAGCAGGTTTTCTTAGCTGCTTCAGTTTTCCCCTATCTAGTTCTCTGCCCTTTCTACTATGTAACTTGTAATAGAAAAATAGATATATAATTTTAAGATGGTTTTCTCTTGCACATAGCCTGTTTTCTTTGACTTATGAGAGCTTCAAAGTCAGACTGAATTTTAGTCATTAGAAGAGGAGAGGCTCATGGCAGTACTGCAGTACACAGTAGTCACCAGTGACTTGCTGACTGTTATTTGAACTTGAAGAAGAGTTTTTATTCGAGACTTGAAACTGTAAAATCGTAACATGTGGTAAAACTTATTGCCGATATAGTGGCATCACTTCTGAAGGTCATATCCCTCTCCATTTGGAGGACTGATTTGTGCTTTTTCTGGAATTCCATTGTCACAGCCAAGAGCATCCTAGAAATCACCTAATCACAGGAGACACCTGTGATTGCTGCTTACTGTTTTGTGGTTGCTGCTTAGTGTTTTGAGATCCTTTTTTGTCTGTGAAAGGAGAGGATATGGTTCCGGAGGAATCTGGAGGAGTTATTTTTGATGTTTTAACAGGAACGGGCTTCCAAAACCCATCTTGGACTTCAAAGAATTCAGTGTGCAGCCATAGCTGGTGAAATTTTTCATTCATTTTTGTGGAGGAAGGTCACTGGCAATAGAGAATTATAAGAGGGAAAAAAGGAAGTATTTATATACATATGTGTATGTGCGAGTGGATATCTATGCACTCATACACGTGTAAATTTGATGTTTATACTTAAATACACATGCTCCACCTGTGACTGAAAGTCTGGCAGAAGAAAATTTATCCGTTTATCTGGCTTTCACACTTTCCTCTTAAGAAACTGAAATTCTGAATAAGTTGGAAATAATAATGCTCAGTAGTTAACATTTAAGACTCATCTTCCCAGGTGACATTTTTCTTTCATAACCAAGGAAAGCTTTTCTGCTAGAGGGAAGTTACTCGCAATTATACTTGAGGGGAACTTAGCTGACAATGCACTTATTAAGATAAATGAAACTCAGGGCTCATATGCTTATGTAATCCTTTGTGCTCAGTAACTGTTCTGTAACATGTGCTAACAAAATGTCATTTCATAAATTCACTGGTATGCTAATTGAGTCTAATTTTTTTTTTCATACTTACTTGCAAAATTAAGTAACTAAGCTCTTAACAGGAGAATACTGTCTGAACAAGGAAGGAGGAGATTGCTTTGAGTCAGGCCTTGTGTCTGTGATGGTGGAGTGGATGTGTACACTGCAGCTATCATTACAGCTCGTGGTCCTGTATGAGTTAGTCAAAGGTAACCATGCATATCAACAGGGCAGACACAAGTGGACTTGGGGGATACTTAGTAAGGACAGCAGTGTTAAATGAAATCTCTACTGTTTACAACATAGCAAAGTTCCAAATGGTCTATTTGGGAGTAAAACCAGACAGTTCACATCAGATCTTTCCTGTTTTCCTGAGAATAAGTCTTTGCTCTGCTTTCACTTAAAGAGAAACAGAAAAAAAGAAAAACATAAAAATTTTTAATTGTTATTCTTTCACCTTTTTGGTGGGTTTATTCATCCATTCTCTTGACTTTCGGGGTGTGATTTCAGCTGAACATAGAGAATTATAATGAATTACTTCACATTGCTTCAGGCAGATTTGCAATAGGATTTGTATTGAGGGAGACAGCATTCATTAATGTATGAAATTTCTGATGGTTATACTAGCTAATGCATGTTAAGGAAAAATCTTTTGCAAGCTATAATGTTTTCCTGTATGTAAATATTTGAGACTTGCCCCGTACTTACATAGTGTGCTTGACTATGATAGATAGAATGCTAGTTTATAAAAACTCTACCATTACTTTTTGAAAATATCTGTGTTTCAAGATCAGTTATAACTGCTGGTGCAAAAGTATTGATTTCAAAAAGTTTTAAAACTCTATTATTAGAACTGTTTTATGCTGTAGAGTGAACACAACCGAGAAGCTGTTTATTTTATGTGGTTAGCCACATAGACTGTGATAAAAAACCCAATTTACATATGAAATTATTTACAGTAAAGTTTAAAAATCTACCTTTACAAATATGTTGGTTTTGACTGGGGTGGATTTAATTTTCTTCACAGTGGCTGGTATGGGACTGTGTTTTGCATTTGTGCTGGAAACAGTATTGGTAACATAGGGATGTTTTAGCTGTTGTTGAGCAGTGCTTGCACACTTCAAGGCCTCTTCTGCTTTTCACCTCACCGGTGAGCAGGCTAGTGGTGCATAAAGAGTTGGGAGGGGACACAGCTGGGACAGCTGGTGGCAGCTGACCAAAGGGATAGCCCCTGGCATATGGCATCGTGCTGAGTAATAAAACTAGGGGGAAAGTGGGGTGGGGTCCACTGCTCAGGGACTGGATGAGCATCTGTCACTTGGTGGTGAGTGCTTATTTCCGTTCACTTGCCTTTCTTGGGCTTTATTTCTCTTTATTTTCTTTTTCATTACCGTTTATTATTATTGTTCTTTTATTTCAGTTGTTAAGCTGTTCATAACCCACAAGTATTCTCACCTTCAGCCTTCAAATTCTCTTCCTCCCTTGCTCCCATCCAGCTGGGGGACAGTGTGAGCAAGCACTTGTGTGATGCTGGGTTAAACTAGGATAGCAAACCAACAGTGTTTCTTCTCTTTCTCCATCCTAATCTTAAAAGCATTATTTCTTACAGGCAGATATCTGGTCATTAGGCATAACAGCCATAGAACTTGCAAAAGGAGAACCACCTCATTCAGAATTACATCCAATGAAGGTTTTGTTCCTCATTCCTAAGAACAATCCACCAACGCTGGAAGGAAACTTCAGTAAATCCCTCAAAGAATTTGTTGAGGCCTGCTTAAACAAGGACCCAAGCTTTGTGAGTTTCATCTATTTATCAGTGTATAATAGAGAACTTGACTGGTTTACATGGATTACATGAGTAATTCATGTAATTTCAGCTTTTCTAATGTGGTGTAACATATGTGACATGGTTTTTTTTTTAGATTATGTATTTAAAATCTCATTTTTATCAAGACTGAAGTCTGGATTTCTTTGCATTTCTATAGTGAGTTACTTAACACTCTCAAATGCATTAAAAAAACCCCTCTCTTCCTTTTTTTTAAAGAGACCTACTGCAAAAGAGCTCTTAAAACACAAATTCATTTTACGAAACTCAAAGAAAACTTCTTATCTGACTGACCTCATTGATAGGCACAAGAGATGGAAATCTGAACAAAGTCACGATGACTCCAGTTCTGATGACTCAGATACGTAAGTTTGATGAGTCTGTAAAATATCCTTTGTAAATACAGGAGCCAAGTAGTTATTTTTAGCACATACATTCCTGTGTTCTGTTATTTTCAGCTTTTCAGCTTAGCAGCCCTGGTGAACTAACAAAATCTTAATTTCAGTATTGCAAGGGATTTCGTGCAAGTAACAGTCACTGAGAACAATTCTTCTGGCCCATATTCTATACTACCTTCTGTTTTATGTAGGGTCTAGGGCCCTTCCTAGACATAAGGCGAGCAGCTGTGCAAGCAGAAGGTCTCATACTTCAAAGCCAAATAGCACTGTAGGAATGAAAATCAAGTGAAGAGGCTGCTACAGTTTATTCACAAATGCATTAAATTCCTCATAATAAAGAAAACATAACTATTCTCTGAAATTCCAGGACACATGCTAATGGCAAACATCAGGCTGTTCTTTTCTTGGGTGACATTACAGCTTTGTATTTGTTTACATTATTAGTGACTTCATGCCTTTCAGTGACCACAGTCTGAGCCACAAACAAAGGCTAATTTGGAAGGTTAGTTACTAGTCCTAAAACTGTTCTCACATCAGTTATTAACAGAACTTTGAGATTACAGTTCATGGTTCCTGTGGAGTATCAGACCAATTTTGATAGCCTGGTATAGGAGAGTAGTATAATAGACTTGTTATTGAGGGCTTATGAGATAATTTATCATTCTGTCTAAGCCTGGATTCCCCTCCTCTGCTTTCACAGCAGTCCTTGCATTAGATGTGATTAAAGGGTGAGTTGATTTGGCATACTGGAATACTAATTTTTCAAATCAATAAATATTTCTTCTGTTGGATCAAGTTACTGGAGCTAATGTATATAAGGAAGGTAGACCCACCTCTTTCAGTGACAGACAGACGTTCCATATGACTTCAAGCAGAAATCTTGGAGAATTTTCTTACCCTGGTCACATGGTTTTTGACTTGGTAGGCTGCACTAAATGCTTTTTATACAGTGGCTACTAGGTGCCCTTTCTGTTGGTGATTTTCTTGCAAATCATGCCTAATTCACAGATCAGAAAGAAATTAATGTAGGAATGATATTTATAGTAGTGAGAGGAGAAATGTGTTGCAGTGATTGATTAGCGTTAGCATAAATATTTTTGTTCTTTTAACTTAGCAGGAGTTATAGAAAAAATTCCTGTGCCATCCACAAACAGTGAGGCAAAAGTTTGATTGATGGTAATGCAGTTTATTAAAGTCACGCTGTATCTGTATTTTTAAGCCAATTTTTTTAAAATGGAAAATTTACCTTGCTAACTGGCTGGGGATGAATGGTCTTCCACAAAGGTATTCCAAGCTAGTGTCTTAGCTATTTTTCTAAGCAGAAAAAGTCAATTAATTTTCTATTTTAATTCCTACACTCCTCTCCCCCCCTTTCCCTAATGATTTGAGGTACTCTGCTAAAGCCAGTTTTCAGATAGCGATAAAACACTTTATGTTATTTGTTAATGGAACTTGGAAAATTTACAACCTCACTTCCTTACATTTAATGAAGAATCTTTGTTTAATTTTTTTTTAATTTACCCAGAAGATAAACTACATTACTTTTCATGCTTGTCTTTATACTTAGTGGCTGGCACAATAGAATCTGATCTTGGTCTTGACTGTAGTTTTTATGTTTAGCATGTATATTGAATGAGCATCAACAGTAAGGTGTAGGTAATAAAATCTATGTATTTCTTTTTTTTCCTTCCCTTGAAGTGAAGCAGATGGTCAGGCTTCAGGTGGGAGTGATTCAGAAGAGTGGATCTTTACAATAAGAGAAAAAGACCCCAAGAATCTAGAGAATGGGGCAGCCCAGCCTTTGGAGTTGCAAAGAAACAAGGTGCTCGAAGTATTGACTTTATAAAACAAGGAGATTGGTGGTGGGGTGATTTTTATTTTATGCCTTTAGAAGCATTTAAATTGCAAAACTTTCAAAACTTTTGCTAAAAATGTGAGTGCTACACTTGCCTTTCACAAAATGTTTTGAGTAAGTCTTGAAGTTTGGGTATTCTGTAAACGTGCCCTCTTTCTGTAGCTGACAAAATACGTACCTTAATATTTCTCTAGTTTGTGTAATATTACCACTGGAGGAAGACAAGGCAATATTGTATTTTTAAAATCTTCCTTCTGTATGGTAAACTAAAACCAGTTTTGGGGAAGACATTTTGGTGTTTTAGGGAAAAAGACTACAACATAGCAAAGAATAGAATGTGCCTGTGTCTGGACAAATATAAGAAAAACATTGTATCATATGGGAGGAACCAAGTAAATATCAGCATGTCTGTGAGTTAGTACGTGCTAAGTACGATTGTCGGTTTTCTTCCTCTTCTGATTTTGAGCTTGCATGTCTTTGATGTGGTGCAGCCTCAAATTTTAGTTCAGCCTTTTATATACATATATATGGAAAAAGATTTTTCATAAAGGGTAGTATGCTGGAACTATATTTTGTCTTTAATTGGAATATAATGAGGATACTTGTTTTCTTTAAAGGAAAAGGATATCCCAAAGAGGCCCCTGTCCCAATGTCTGTCTACAGTTATATCCCCTTTATTTGCAGAGGTAAGTTATTGCTTTAAAACTTAACAATTGCAAGATTTATGTCTCTGAAAAAAAAATGAAAAATATAATGAATGACACCTAAGGTTGCTACAACCAATTTTGAACTTGATGTGTTAAGTTTTAGTTCTGCCCTTTGCTTTCACATGTGTCTGCTTCTGAATCTGTGTTTTACTTCTAACAATACTTCCTATGGATGGTAGTAACATCAACCATGCTAGCCTAAAGTAGTGAACATGAAAAAGGTGTGTGTTTGGATTACAGCATTTTGTTTTTGACACTGCTTTATATAGCCATCAATTACAAATTTTAAGTTCCAAGATATGGGTGTGGACCAGATCAGCAAGAACTTCTTTTGAATTTCAGTGCTGAAGACTGTATTTTGTTTTCTTACTTTATGTTATATTTTATATTTTTTCTCAAATGCTTAAAAGTAAATCTAAAAAAGAACATATGAAGGGAAAGACAAATGTAGGAAGATGTGATTATGTCAAAAAGTTGATAAAACTTCTGCAGAGTGTGTATAAGCTATAGGTGTGCAAGTATGTATAATAAAGTAAGTATAAGAAGCACATCTTGAAGCCAAACAGCTACAGGTAAATATCTTGGGATACTTTCTCATAATTTTTGACTGTGAGCATGCTGAAAAGGATGTGTGAAGATTGAAGACTTGTGAAGATGAATGACCTCCTGAGAAGTAGTACAAAGACTAACTTCGAGTTAAAAAAAAGTCTTCAGTATGTGAGGATGTATGATGAAAGTCAGATCCTGACATTGTGAACCCTGATGGTTGCTTCCAAACAAGCTTCTGCATTGTATTGTAAATAGGAATATTTATGAATATCTTATTAATATATTTCTTCCTGGTTTTCTTCCAGTTGAAAGAGAAAAGTGAAGTGTGCGGCGGTAACACAGATTCCATAGAAGAACTGAGAAAGGCTGTTTATTTAGCTGAAGAGGCTTGTCCAGGCATTGCAGATAACATGGTGTCACACCTTGTGCAGAGGCTTCAGAGGTAATGAAACTACTTCATTATGGGTTTGATTCCACAAATATTTGACTTGTGTGAGACTGGAAGAATTAATTCTGTTTCTAATAGAGAAGAAAACCACTTGTGCTTGCTGTTTGTTCAAGAAGTATCAGTACTTCTAATTTCTAGCTTCAGGTGATATAGCACATATGTACATTCATCCTGTTGGTGGGCATATTGTGTGTCAAATGAGACTGGACAGCCTTTTCCCTTTGCAGTTCACATAAGGGATGCACAGGCTTTCTTAGTGTTTGGCTGTATGTTGCAGAGAGTGCTCTAGTTCCTTTTACCCACTTGAATAAATTGACTGTCCAGTTGGTCTCTGTTTCTTTCAGTCACGGAGTCAGTGGTTCCTTGTTCATTCATTAAAGGCAGTATGTAATGGCCTTCTGGTGGCGTCTCCAAAACCAACATTTTGTCTTATTTCAAAAGGCCAAATTTCCTTTCATATGAGATTTTCTAATTGCCTCAGTTAGGAATATATTCTTACCAAACACTCAATTTTCTATTCTCTTAAATACTACACAAGAAAATATGACAGGTATAAATTTCGGAATTGCTCCCTGAAGAGGCTTTAAATGCAACCTGGAATCCAGGAGCCCATAACTGTTGTGAATCTTACACCATCCAGGTTGGATTGCTTGGTACTTGAAAAAACTCATGGCAGTGATTAATCGTGTACTACTACGTTGAGAAAGATCATCCTGAGCAGGTGTCTCTTTTACACTGTCTGTAACCATACCTTGATACCACCTCTGAAGTTAAAGCAGAGTGTTGCCAGGCTGATATTTTATCATTCAGTAAAAACAATGCCAAGAAATCTGCAAAGCAATCGTGCTTGTTTCTTGAAGCCCAGTCAGCATTCTCTAGTGCTGAAAAGTTACTCCTAATGGCAGATGTCCTGTCCTGTCTCAGTTGATCCTGGCAGACTTAAAAGAGTTGAGCTTCCATCTCAGTTTGTTTCCATCAGGGGTTCCAAAATTGAATTCAGTCTTTCATCAGCTCAATATTTCAGTGTCATATTTCTATCAATCCCAGATTGATAGAAATCAGGACATTCCTGGAACGGAGAACCTCAAAGAGTTGATGCTGCAATTGAAGCTGAAAATGACCATGTGGAGGTAGTGCCCAGACATGGGCACTTTTGGGGATGCTGATGGTGATCTTACTGACAGCAACAGTCATCATTTTTGTCCTAAGAGAAAGATATCAGAACCCTTTATATACCTATTTAGAATATTGTTTTCCTTCTCTTCTGCTTCCTTGGACTGTTACTGTTTTTCTTGGTTATAATGTCTTTGAACAGTGGAGGCAGACATTTTGTTCTTTTTGAAGGAGATAAGGAATTAATCACACAGATTATTTGTTGATGGGTCACATCTGGGTGAACTGTCTCTTCAGGGAGGATAGTCAGCTAGTATTGGGATCATGGCTAGCACTCCTTCCAGCAAGGGAGTGAAAGAAATGAGTGGCATGATACCTGACTAAAAATGAATTTGAACCATTCCATAGCTTAGTAGGTTTTCCTTGTGGATAAAGCTATTTTTGGAGCTAGTCAAATTCTGAAAAGATAGTTCCTTCTTGTTTGAATGCTACTGGAAATACACTGTGTTACATTATTAAGTTGTTCATTTTTCCATTTATAACAGCCTCTCAATTTGCTGGCTAATTCCTGAAAATATGTTTTCAACAACATTTCTTAATAACATTTTCATTCCCCTTATGATTGGTTAGAGGTGGATTTTGCAAGTTTGTCTGAATGAATTAATTGGGACCCTCAGGCTGCCCAGTAACTTGAGTGAATCCAGTTACCTACTCCCTCCAATTTTGATCTTGGATGCTTGATAAAGTTTACTGAAAACTTAATGTGATTAAAATGTGTACTTCTTTCCTTGAATGACTTAAGAATCTGCTCAGGTCAAGAAATTCAGGTTTCCTGTCTCAGTAATATTTTGGAAAGATTATGGTGTAAACTTGTGAAGTAGGAAAGTTGGAATCACTGAATGTTGCCCCACTGTACAGAGTTCTTACATCATTACATACTGCTCAGTAACACACTTAAACACAGGTTGCTGCTGTTTGTTAGGAAAGCAGTGATACTCTAACAGGGTGTATTTCACGTGTTGTTCACCTCTATGGCTCTTTCTTTAAAGAGTGGTAGCAGAGGTGAGTGTTATTGTGCAAGGAAAAAGTTGGAACTTCAGCAGCCTAAAATGGAATAACTTCTCGTTGCTGCTTGTTGTAGAATGCCTTTCTGAAAGTCGCAACAATAACTATTTATTTTCCTTTTCAGATATTCACTAGCTGGAGGAAGTTCTTCATCCTACTGACATACTCTTCCTGACTTTTCTAAGACAACAGAGATCCCACAGTGTCTGCGTTGAAGGCACGCACTCTAATGTTGTTCTGCCTTTCAGTCTCTGGAAAGTCCTTTGGTGGAAGAACATTCCTAACTGTGCAAGAGTGGAAACTAAGTATTTTTGGTGGAGGCAGTCTTTTTCAGCTCCTTAAAGCTATAATTTTTTAAAATGATAATGCACATATTCCAGGGAGGTGTCCTTTTGTAAAATCTGAAATGTATATCTAGGTTTGTGATAGAGAAATTGAAGATATTGAGAAACCTCAGGTATCTTGCTTTAAGAATTCCATTGGGAGATGGAGCATGGTTGTTGGAATTGTGTACAGATATGTATATAATGTCTTTTTTAACAGAAAGCCTTTCAACGTGCATAAGGAATCACTGTGTACAAAATGGTAAAGTGCTTTTGTAGATAATGTTAGTGGGGTAAATATTTGACAGGCTATAACTGAGTATTGCCTTGCCTTTATTACATGTAAAATTTGAATTATGTGATGAGTGAATCTTGGTTTGATTTTTGTATGTGAAGTATTTGCCATTGAAAGAGTTAATCCTGTTCTATGGAATCTTCTATTCGTACCTCAGTACAGACATAATTTTATTCTGTTTCTCCAGTATTTCATTCTTTTTATCTATATTCTGAGCTTGGCTTTCTAATAATGGTTGTTTTAAATTTCATACACCTGGCTTCTTGAAGCTTTAAATTTAAATTGTTTTCCTGAAGAATGAGCTCTTTCATATTTTCAGTTTTAAATTGTGCCAATGCAAATTCTGAACCCTATTGATTGTTCAGTTTTAGTAGCAGATATTTGTGAAGCTTGTGAAATTCAGATACAATCTTTTTTTCACCTGAACATGTTTGAATGCTCGCACAAATAAATCTTTATTCCCTTCATCTGTTCTGAAATATCTCATTAAGGTGTTGACTCTGAGGCAGTGGCAAGTATTTCTTTATCATGCCTATTTTTATCGTTAAAATTAATGTTTTGCAGCATAGAAGAAAAATTATCCATAGATGCAATATTCGGTCTCGCTGCCTTGATCTGTGCACCTCTTTACCAAAAGTGACAGATGTTGGACACAAAGGCTGCAAAACTAAGCCCAAGTGCTATGTGCTAGTCCTTGTGCTAGCTTGCTTATCCAGAGAAAAGTTACTTCTTGAAAATTCTGAATTTTTAAATTTCCACTGTTCCTGTGAAGGCTTTTAGATAGCTGACATCAGGCTATTTTATAGATCTTGGAGATAATAGTGTTAGTTAATTAGTTACATGCACAGTTGACTTAGGTAGCTGCTATTTTTATTTTTTTTTCCCCCCACAGTATTACTCTGGGGTTTACCTTGGCTTGTTTCACCAAGATTATATTCAGGTGCTTCTTATTCCAGTAGCTAAGAGAGCATTTTTGCCTTCTTTTTTATGAAGAAATTGATGATTTCATGCTTTACATGACTGTGAGGACAGTGAGGTAACTTACCTCTTTAATGATTTTTCTTTTTCCTTCCCTTTTTTTTTTTTTTCTTAATATAGATATAGATAGAAGCTTTGGAGCAGAAAGGATTAACATTTATAAATATTGGCATATCTGTCTGGCTTGATACAAAAAGGCTCAGGTCCGCTAAACATTCTGGAAGCTGGTGAGGTCTCTTTGCAGGACTTCGTATCTCCATGGTAGCCCTTAGTCTATGCATATTAATAGCCTTAATTTATTAATTTAAGAATTTAACAGTAAGAGGACACTGTCTTGCAAACAGAGCTAGGAAGCTCCTGCCCAGGTTGAAAGAAATGGGTGAATGCGTGTTCATCTTGTGACCATGCTCTTAGACACAGCGTGTTTGCCAGCTAATGAGGTAATGGCTTTTCTTTATGACTAAGGGAATTTAAGGTAAATTGAACAGTGCATAAATTTGAGCAATGTTTTATAACTCCTCTTTGATTAACATCTTTAACTGTGTTGCGCTGTGTGCTCTTAAGTGTTAAGGATAGGCTTACCCTTGAGGAAACAAATTTAGCACTGCTATTGTGAAATGTGCATCTGAATATGGCACAGTGGGAAATTCACCTGTTGATGTCTAATATTAGAACATTCAGCCCTTCAGTATATCTGTGTGCTGTCACAGCACATGAAAATCAACAGGTGTGTTTGCACTGGAAATACAAATTGATCAACATAAGCTATTCCCTAGTCATCTGGTAATGTAAGGGCTGGAAATTAAATTAAGCAAGCTGACTTGGAGATGGACAGAACTCTTAAGACGTAGCAAGGAAGTTAAATTTATAGTTCTGGCTTGATTGTTAAGGGTTAAGAATTTCTCAATCATCAAATTCTAAGGTGCACTTTTTGAACACTCATTTGAAAAGTTATACATAGATCTTTTGAGTTGCATTTTAGTTGTGTTCTAGGAGTGAATGTTGAGGAAATACTTCTCTGAGTAGATGGTGACAGAATTTGCTTGATGAATATGTTGGAGCTTAAGATGAGTAAGACCTGCAGTGAGGGCAGCTGGCCAAAAGGCTTGGCCATTTAGAAGAAGATAAGACCTCATTTATGGTAGAGATGTGTATTTTTATATGTAATATATAGATTATTTAAATATAGACTGTCTTAAACTGAGATTTACTGAAAAAACAAGTGTGCTGTATCTTGAATGTAGAAGTACAATCAATTGCTATTTAAAAGAGTATTGATGCTTTAAAAATCAGGTCTATATTAGTAACAGAAAAGGAGCTTCATTTGAAAGAAGCACCGCCTCAGTTTCTCAGAGAAAAAGAAGTGTATTGATATTTTTGAGAGGTTGTTTCATCCTAAAAACATGTCTGTGTTATGATGTTGCACTGATGATTTTTCTGTGCAGGTAGTATTTCACGCAGTCTTGACTATACTAAAAGACAAGCTATCTCTATTTATGCAAACATTTAAATTAGTAGAACTGCTTATTTGTCAGGGATTTAATGATTAGGCAGTAAATAAACTCACTGTTTAAAAACAATAAAATCAGTTATTTGAACTGAAGGCTTGCTTTTTTTTGTAAGTATCAGATGTTTAATCTATTTTTTTAACTTAATTTTCCTTGCAGTTGCACTTTGTAGTTGATGGCCAGTTTACTGAAGGATGACAGTATGATCACTAGTGCACAGAATGCTTTTGGTGTAAAAATGAAGCAGCTCTTTCTCCAAGTGCCACGGTTCCTCTGCAGCTCCAAACATGCTGTGGGTGCCTGTGTGGCTACAGACAGCTGAACCAATTATTACGGAGCAGACTAAGTGGGGTGGTTTTGCCCCCGCTGTGCAGGAGGGGCAGGTGGAGGGGAAAGGTAAGGCTGGGGGCACTGGCACTTCACTGCAAAGCAGCTAGCACAGTGCGAGTTCACATCCTGCTGTAGCCACCATCAACCCTTCTTATGCCTTTTAATGTGCTTTTAATGTATTTGTGCAATTTCTAATCCAGCTCTCACTACTTTACATGACGTTCCGTATTACTTTTTGAACAATGTGGTACCAGTTTGTAATAGTTTTACATTAACCTTACTTTTTTCTGAGGGCGGAAATGCATTTCCTTCATTGTCACCATCTGAAGATTATCTGGAGTGCTGATAAGCACAGGTGTAAAGCAAGGATCAGGGCAATCATGAATTGTTTTTGTAAGCTGCTGGGGAGGAGCTTATGGTATTAGCACAAACCTGCTTGTTCTTTTTAACTGTGTTTTGCAGACGTGCTAGTAACTGCACTGAGCACATGCCATAGACAAATTGTATGTAGTGGTTTCCTGCCACCATTAAAGCATGATTACAGAGGACGAATAAAGTGCATATCTTGTTTTCTGTAATGCTGCCTGTTTATAGCAGTGTATTTAAATTTTACTTTACACCAAAATAATAAACCACCTTGTAAACTACAAGACCTAGAAATAAAGAAGGAAAAGTTTAATGAAATGTTAACACCTGAGTGGTCAGTAAAATGAGATTCGGGATCCCTTCAAAAGAGGGGATGCTCTTGAGGTTCTCTAGTGCAGTTATTGCCCTCGTATCAGTAATGGTAAGCAGAAAGCCTATAAGTTTGGTTTTTAGCGATAATCATCTCAGACTTTGTACCATTTACAGATGGCAACAAATTAAAACCCACTTTGTAGTCCCCATCCTGCCAGCCAAGTGAAACTGATGAAGTGCTCCCATCAAATTGCAACCCCCAAGGGTTTAACCTTTAACTGGTGACTAACTGCTGCACACGTGTAATTATACTTCATTACTATTTTCAGCTGCTAAAAACTGCATGTGTGGCACATTGCAAATTATTCCTTTTCCTCCTACCAACTTTCCTGTGCCCCCAGGGCAGAGGGGATGTCCATGTGCTCTAGCAACTGGAGTTGCATGCATATACATAATTGTGTTTCCTTTTGAGGGAGAAGATTATGTAATTGATCCTGTATAAAAAGACAGAATGGTCAAAATTGGGCTTTTCAGGTCTTGATTCTCTGTTTTGTTCATGGCTGATGGAATGATAGGTGATTACACCTGATTTTTGTCTCTAAACCAAATTTTTCTTCCTCTTTCCTTTAGTCAGACTTACCAAGATTTCTGCAATCGCAGCGTGTTTTACCCTACCTGCCAACTTGTCTTTCAGTCTGTCATCTTTGGCTGCTTTCAGCTGAATTTACAAAGGCATTGAGGTGTCAACATTTTTTAATTAAAATTTTCTGAAAACAGGTAGGCTTGAGGTATATTAATAAATACATCTTAATGAAAGTTAAATTAGACAGAGGATAAATAGTGGAGATGCATAGTCTTGTGGGAAAAAAAGTCCACAGGAGTCCAGGTTTATCTGATCCCATTGTCTGTGGTGCAACCTTAAACGGCAATTAAGTTCCTATTTTGTTTTTATTTGTTCATTATTTGAAACCGGCACCTATTCATGGTGAATAATAGTAACACCAAGAGTAAATCTCCTGGAGTGACGAGTCTGAGGTTTTTCTGCTGCTGAGAGCGGTGTGTTTAGTCATGGCTATTGACACAGCACTCAGTGACCCTGCCTGTCTGCAAGCCCTGCTTGGCTGAACAGGCAGCAATATGATGTGAATCAGGATTAAAAATAAGTGGTTGTATATTGCAGCTTTCTGTACACTGAGTTTTATTCACACACATGGACTTTGCCTGATTGCAAGATACAGCTGTCACAGTTGATTTTACTCTCTTACCATCATTTCAGTTTTGGGTTAACCTTGGGAATAAAGAACTAAAACAATGCTAGCAAAGTGACAGCAGTTCACATGGTTCCATTTAAAGAAACAGATGTAAAAAAATCACACTGGTAGATAAGGAAAAAAAATATCTTATTTTAAACCTTTTTTTCCGTAGGGAAAAGGTAATACAAAAAGGTGAAAATGATGAATCAGGTGGGTACTCTGGAGTTGAATCAACAGCCTGGCTTGGTCTCTGCTGTTATGATAAATAGCACTGTATCTTGAGCTTTACCTTATTTTCCAAATTTACTTTTGTATGAAAATAAGTGTAGTGAGGAAAGGTGTTATTTCTTTTGAAAGCTCAGAATAAACTTCTGCAGCAGATAGCAGTAACGAGGATTGTATCCAACAAGCCTCAGGGATCTAAACTAAAATTCAGTTTTGGCTGAATTAAGGGCATGGCCCTCAATATAATTTCCATTAAAAAATAATCTTTTCACTGTTATGGATAACCATTCTAAAGGGCAGATGTTGGGCCCTGACTGGCTTGTCAGGTGTTGCAGATGTACTATTTTACAGCTCAGTAATAATTTTGGAGGGATCACATCTGCAATCTTTAACTTCGTAGCAACATCAAGTACTCTTGCTTCTTCAGCTTTATTTTTCCAGGTCTATAAGGCTCCAGCTTGGGTAATTGTCCATCTATGCTGTGTTATTTCCTCTTTTCCTCACTACAGAGACTGTTGTTCACATTCCTGGTCAGTCCTGAAGCACAGAAGTTCCTGTATATTGCTGGTTCACTGAGGTGGTTGAACTCACTTGCTTTGGCACTGCAGAGCAGAGGCACAGGTTTGGAACAGACAAGGCAGTGGGGCCTGCAGCTGGGAAAATGGGTTTCAGACTTTCCTATCCACGTTCTAAATTTGTCCTTCATTATATCCTAGCCATAGGTGATGCTGTAGGGTAGGTATGGTTAATGCATTGGTACTGAGAGTCAGGGGCAATAGCTAAGCTAAAAAGCAACTGTGACACGTAACCTGCCCAGGGCATTACCTGCAACGGAAAGAAGTACAGTGAACTAGTTTTTTCCCTTTGTCAGGATGCACTTGGATTTGGCCATGGGGATGCTTCTTGTCTTAAGGGGTTAGGAGAGTCCATCCTCTTCTTGGGTGGAGGTATGAGTACAGCTTTGTTTAGAGTCAGGGGTGATGATACAAAGAAAGCTTTACTGTCTTGAAAGAGCAATATATACAATAGTATTGTGAGGTATTTTATTCCCTTTTGTTGTGAGCAAAGCTGTAACAAGTTGCTTTATACATTGCACACAGGTAAGCCATTAACAAAGCAAATAGCTAGATGAAGAAAAAGTAGGGGTAGAATTGCCCCTGCATCATTTCCCAGATCAACATTCAGCCCCCCTCTGCCTAACACCACGTTTCCTCAAAGGCCCATAATGGTGATAGGTGTGTTACCAGCACATCAAACTTCCAATAATGGAAGTTCTGCATCACCCTCATGACAAAGTGTTTCTTAAAACACAAGGAAAGGCATCTAAGCCTAGTAGATGCAGCACTGCCAACCTTCTAAGTGGACCACCAGCTTATCCAAAATGC